GGCGCCCAGAGCCAGCTCCGGCGATGTCCCGGGAGGCGCGGTGCGATCTCGCGCTGCGGCCGTCGGACCCGGTCAGGAACTACCGCTCAGCGAGCCTGTGGGTGGTCGTAGGTTGAAAGGGCACTGCGGAGAAACTGTAAAGTGGATCTCTAGGTTGGTCCGCACACCTGCTGAGAACCTTCCAAGGCTCTGTGGTGTCGGAGGGGGAAAGTTCTGACGCCTCAGGTTGGCGAATAAAAAAACTTAAGCACGGATTCAGTCTGCCTTATCTCACGTTGCAGCAATCCCATACATCCTAGGCACTGCTCCGTGGGATCGTCAAGATCTCCAACTGCTTTAGACGTTTCTGCAAACCTCAGGTGCTTTTGTGTGTGTGTGTGTGTATGTGTGTGTGTGTGTGTGTGAAATTATGTTCCACATTCCACCTCAGAATCTATTTCTCTTCTACAAACCCAATTAATCCCCATTTCTTTTGCTCTAGAGATTCCCAAGAGCTCTGGCTGAAGGGAATTAGTAACCCAGCTTGTCAAACCCATAGTGGGTGTTGATTAACAATTTGTGGCAGCAAATCAGAAAACTACAAAACTGTGGAAACGCTTCAGCATCAGCTGTGGTGGTGTGAAATGTGATGAGCAGAAACCGAATCAATTATATTTTAACATGTTTGATGAACTATCACGGAAGAAGTGGTCAGTCTAGGGCAGTGGTCCCACTTTTCAGACTACAGATCAACATCTTTTATTAAAAAATAAATCATGGGACTCCACCTGTTTTGAGTTCTTTGTCCAGAAAGATGCAGCATGTTAAAGGGGAACCACAAAGTGATGAAAGCATGTTGTGTGAATTTGAACGGCAGCAGACGTGTACATGAGCAATGTCCCATCTGGAGACAATGCATATGCTGAAGAGAGCCAGTCTATAGGGAGCAGTGACAAGAAAAGGGAAATTCAGAAGCAGAAGTTGGCAGAACCCCAATATCCAGAGAGGCTGCCTGGCCTACCTCAGATACAGGGTTCCTTAGAGAGAAAATGCACGTATTAAGCCAAGAGTTCCATTCCATTTAGAATGGCATTTAAATAATATCTGACTTGGTCCTGGGATTTAGCTCAGTGATTCCCCTGCCTGCCTTAGAAGTTCAAGGTCCCTAGTTGGATCCCAGTACCAAAGTAAATAAATAATATCTGCCTCCTCGATTTCCAATTCTTGATTGCTGAGCAACTTTTTGACAATTTGGTTTCCATGTGACTTAGGGTCTACTAAAGAAACCTTTCAGAAAAATGGTGACAGACAGTAATCATCTGTGTAATAAATAAGTTATCTTAATGGTTTCTACTTTGAATATGTTCACTGTGAGATATTTGCTCAGAAATCGTTCTTATGTTATATTCTGAATTTGCCTCACGTTATAGAAAAATTTTACCCAGTTAGGTTGACATATGCCTGTAATCCCGGTACTTGGAGACTGAGGCAGGAAGATCATATGTTTGAGCCTATCCTGGACAATTTAACAAATCTGTGAGACTCTGATTCAAAAGAAAAAAAAAATTGAAAAGTGCTGGAGATATAGTTCAGTGTGAAGGGTGAGTTCAAGCCCCACCCTAGTACTGAGGCGAAACAACAAAACCCTTCATTTCTTTTATAATTAATGTTTATGTGTCCCAATGTGTTTTAGATTACACAACCCTAAAGTGCAAATTTCAAGTTTATTATGATTTATTAATGCATTTAGCACAATCTGGACACAGGGCATTAACTTAATTTCTAAATAAAATAAAGTATCTTTTATAGATACTTTATACAAACAAATATAGTTTGTATTCTATTAGACATAAATGAACAACAACAAAAATTATGTTACATGGTGACAAGAGCTGCAGGGGGAAAAAACAAAAGGAGGCTAGAAAGTGATTTTTTAGGTGGACATTGTTTTATAATAAGGTGAGGCATGCAATGTAAGGAAGCATACAGATATCTGGTGGTGAACATTCCAGGCAGAGTGAATTGCAAATGCACAGACTCTAAGCAGAAAGCATATTTAGAATGAAAATGGAGGCCAATGTATGCCTGGAGTGAAGAGGAAATAGGAAAAACATTCCAAGTTTAGGAAGCAGTGATCAGCAAAGGTATAAAAGCATAAATGTGAAAAAGGTAGAAATCTGCATAAAGAGCAGAGAATGCAAACCAGAGTCTAGTGTACCTCCACAGGTAAATTACAAGTGGGTCTGACAAGGGGATGGGACCATATTCTCTGGAGACTTTTGTAACTCACTGAACTTTAGGCAGTGGAAAGCCACTGATTTTAAATTATTTAAAAATTTTAAGGGGTCAGAGATTTAGCTCAGTGGTTCTCTCGCCTACCTCGCAAGCGCAAAGTCCCAAGTTCAATCCCCTGTACCAAAAAAATCCAAAAAAATTTTAAGAGCCAGGGATTTAGCTCATTGGTTCTGGTGCCTGGTTTGCAAGCACAGGGACCCAAGTTTGATTCCTGGTACACACACACAAAAAAAAAAAAAAAAAAAAAAATTTAAGTGGATACATGCCAAAGTTAAAACCTTCAAACAATATAGGACTCTATAATGACTAGCAAATCTCCCTCACTCTGGTGATTGTAGTCCCCCCCCCCAGGCAATGCTATTACTCTTCTGTTGTACCCTTTTCAGAGATGTCCAGGTCTTTATAATCATGTATGTATATAAAACCCTCTGACCCCATTTTGTGTACAAATGATAGCAAGTTGCTCTATTGTATACCTTGTTTTTGTCATATGAATATTCTGGTGTTCTGTTTCATAACAGAATATCCAGGATTCCTTTCAATGGCTACATCATCTTCTACTGGAGGCAAGGGACTGGGATCCACAACCTTGGGCCCTGATTCATGATTGTGATCTGTACTACTCATTATAACTATTCATATCCATCACCAACATACTTGCTTAAAGCACCATCATCTGTCATGTGGACTTGTACAATAGCTTCCTAATTACTTTTATTGCCAATCTCCCAGTACTTCTCCAAAATATTTGATGCCTAGAAGTTGGAGTGGTCATGAAAAGGTAAATCACATCTGTTATGAGCTTGATATGGTAAAGTGTATAGATCACAATTCCAAACCATTTTACAATGATGTAGAATGTTAAGGATATTTCTAAGACATTTCAAAGTTCAGTGCCAGAATATGTAGATATTTATAATTTGTAATTTATCAGAAGTTATTCCAAAACTTAAAATGCAGCATAAGATTCTATTTCTGGATAAGAAGGGTGTGATATTTTTATGTATCCACTTCAATGGCCTACTGAGTGCTTGAATATTTCATCAAATATTATTCTGGTTATATTTGTGAGGGTGATTTTATATAAAATTAAAATATGAATTGGTAATCTGAGTAAAGCAGATTGCCCTTTTCAACCTGGATGTTTCTCATCTTATCAGTTAAAAACCTGAATAGGACTGAAAGATTGGATATCTCTCAAATAAGAGAAAATTCCTTCTAACTTCTTTGATCCGGGATATAGGTCTTTTCTGGCCTTCAGACTCAAACTAAAGCATAGACTTTTCTTGCCCTTGAGCCTGTTGGCTTTCAGAATAGAACAACATGTAGCCTCTCATGATCTCTAGTAGATTTTAATTTCTCAGCTTCCATAATCATATAAGCTAACTTTTACCTTATATCTCTATCTGCACCTATATACATGTATATACACACACATATGCACACACCTTATTATTCTATATCTCTGGAGAAACCTTACAATGGATTAAGTAAACCTTGCCCTGTCTCCACCCCACCCAAACCCCTAAATACAGCTATCACTCCCAGTTTGGACCCAGGCAATCCAAATCCAGAAATGTCCACTGGGATGATAGCAGATCGCATGTGGACTTACTTTAGTGATAATGGAAATTAAAACTGAGGCAAAAGCTGTGCTTACAGGCAAAAGCTTTGAGAAGTAGAGATACATGGGACCTCAGCATGAGTATAAGAAAAGTTGAAGGTGGCATAACTCTGATTAAGAATTTTAGCCTGACCTATTAACAGAGGAAAGGGACAAGTTTTTATGGGGGCTCTTGGGGTGGGCCAAGGGTCTGATTGATCGTTTTCTTGGTTCTGGTTCTGCAAGGTGGCTATGGAGAAGTCTTTGTCACCTGAGGGGCAATTTGATTCCCATGAGATGATTGCTTTTCTTTTGTGGGAGGCAGCCTCACTTCTGTGAAGGATGTGCTGGAATCCAAGGTGAATGCAAGTTTAGGGCAGTGATTAGTGACTGTGAGATGTCCATTCTACATGGTCTGCGGCAGGTATTGCAAAAGCTGGTAGTTTAATATCCATACAAATCTCTGTTTTCCTGTTTTGAAGGTGGATGAAATGAGTTAGATGAATTTGGGGCACGGATTACCAGGTTTTAGACTGACACTCCTTAAGTGATTAACGTGTCTATATGCAGAGCTAACCAGGGATCTCACTGAAAGTTTTAAGGTTGTAAAGGAGATGCAAAGTGAAGGCAGAGATGATGTTATAGTTTAGAACTAAAATGCACCCCAAAAGTGTTTGAAAGGATCATGGAGGGGCACTATACTCAGCAGTGTAGACCACTGATGAATTCATAGCCTACTCGCTGTTAGGAGGTGGAGCCTGGTTAAAGGTGGGTCATTGGAGCATGACCTGGAAAAGTATATTCTTGTCCCCGCACCTCCCTTCTCTCTTTGCTTCCTG